TGCAAGTCATTAGCTAGATGGCATGGGGTGGGCATGAGGGAAGCCTCCCAGGGCAGCATGGGCAGCAGGCAGCCAGGTCTGGAGCTCGGGAGAGGTGCAGGGCCACCGCAGGCCAGCATGGAGCCTAGTGCAACAGAAGCAGTCGGCTGACAGTGGGACTTGGTGGCAGGGCCCCTCAAACTTGGCCCTCAAGTGGGTTTTGTGCTCCTGGCTGCTTCCCTGGCAGAAGGCCAGGCTGCGGGGCCAACTCACTGTCAGGCCTCATAGGCCTCACAGCCCCCATGCCTCCACGGCAGAGCCCCAGATCATAACATCACTGTTCCTCCCCTTTCCTCGGGCACTCCGGGGCCCTGGAGCCTGCTCAGTTGCTGTACCCTCACCACCCAGCAGTGGTGCCTGTAGCTTGGGCCTCCTGTTCCCTATCTCCCTGGGTGCTGCTCCCACTTTGCCAAGTCTGCTGTGCTGCTGCTCAGGTGCTAACCCTGCTGCCTCCCACTTCCCCGCTCCCACTCCTGCCTGCACCGGGCTGCTTTTCACCACGAGCCTTCTCAGTTGTCAGGAAACTTTGGTTTCACCTTCAGGCCTGGGGGGGTGGGCAGGCAAAAAACATCCCCCCATGCTGCAGCAGGACTCTGCCTCACTGCGTCCACACATAGCAATGGGGGCCGGGGTCAGGCCACAGGGGCACAGGCAGCCGTGTGCCCAGCCAGATGCTGGCATTCAGCAGTGTGGGCCGTGGTACTTGGTGAGGCTGAGTAGGCAAGAGAGTGGCTGGGTGAGCTGCCAACACTTAGGCTGGAGTAGGCCCTACCTTTTCCTCCCAGGTACCTGGGTGCCGCTGTCGGGCCTCTCCCATGTGGGCGCTTGAGGTGGTCAGAAGAACCCTTCCTGCCTTCTGAGAAACCACTTGTCATCCCAGCTTGGAGGGGCGGGGTGGGACAGGAGGCCTGGTGGCCTGGCTATGCTTGGTGGTGGTGGCAGGGAGAGGCCTGTGTGGGTGGCAGGTGGATGGGAACAACCTGAGCCCCAGTTCATACTCTGGCCCCCCTTCGGGGTCCCACCCTGCCCCCCCAGGTGCTGGCATCGGCCCCACCATCCGGATTGGGGAAGAAACGGTGATCACTGTGGACATGAAGGCAGCAGGCAAAGTGACCTGTACCATGTGCACGCCTGATGGCTCGGAGGTAGATGTGGATGTGGTGGAAAATGAGGATGGCACTTTCGACAGCTTCTACACAGCCCCCCAGCCAGGCAAATACGTTATCTGCGTGCACTTTGGTGGCAAGCACATGCCCAACAGCCCCTTCCAAGTGATGGTGAGGCGGGTAGAACAGGAGGGGGATTTGGCAGGTCCTAGCCTATCCCCTTGGGGACTCTCTGTGACAACAGATTCTACAGCTCTGTGCTTTGCCCTGCAGGCTCTGGCTGGGGACCAGCCCTCGGTGCAGCCCCCACTACAGCAGCTGGCCCCACAAGTACACCTACACCCAGGGTGGCCAGCAGACTTGGGTATGGCCTGGCCAGCTAGGGACACTGGGGCTGGCCAGCTGGGTGTTCTGTGAGGTCCTATCATACCAGGTGTGAGGAGGGGCCCCAGATACTCCCACTGCCCCTCACGTAGACCCTGCGTCTCCACTGCAGGCCCCAAAGAGGCCCCCGGTGGGTGTCAACGGGCTGGATGTGACTGGCCTGAGGTCATTTGACCTTGTCATCCCTTTCACCATCAAGAAGGGTGAGATCACAGGTGAGTGGGGTCGGGAAGAAGCCCTGGGAGCCAAGGAGGCCAGGTTATGCCAACAAGCTGCCCTAACCTCAGCCCTGCTGCCCCACAGGGGAGGTTCAGATGCCCTCAGGCAAGGTGGCACAGCCCGCCATCACTGACAACAAAGACAGCACTATGACCGTGCGGTATGCACCCAGCGAGGCCGGCCTGCATGAGATGGACATGCGTTATGACAACATGCACATCCCAGGTGGGCTGGGCCTGCCCTGCCTCTGACCACTGCTCTGTCACCACCTCACAGAGAGATGGGGCTGGGGGATGCACAAGGCTGCCATTCCACAAGACCCCTCTTCCTGCCTCAGGAAGCCCCTTGCAGTTCTACGTGGATTGCGTCAACTGTGGCCATGTCACTGCCTATGGGCCTGGCATCACCCACGGAGTAGTGAACAAGCCCGCCACGTTCACTGTCAACACCAAGGATGCAGGAGAGGATGAGCAGTAGCTCTGTGCCTGGGATGCCCTCACCAGGTTAAGGGCTGGACTCGGGACACTCCCAAATGGGACCCCCATCCTGCTGCCCTGGCCTCTACCTGGCTGTTGGAGAACAACTGGTGTGTCCCCAGCACAGCTCCTATGCTTACCCACGGCTCTCTCCGGAGGGCCTGTCTCTGGCCGTCGAGGGCCTGTCCAAAGCAGAAATCAGCTGCACTGACGACCAGGATGGGACGTGCAGCGTCTCCTACCTGCCTATGCTGCTGCTGGGTGACTACAGTATCTGGTCAAGTACAATGAACAGCACATCCCAGGCAGCCCCTTCACTGTCCGGGTCACAGATGGGTGGCACTGGGAGCAGTGACAAACAGGTGGCAGGGTGGGCATGGTCTCCCGTGGCTGGACACAGTGATGGCAGCCCTGTTCCATGCCAGGTGACGACTCCATGCGGATGTCTCACCTAAAGGTGGGCTCTGCCGCTGACATCCCCATCAACATCTCAGAAACTGACCTCAGCCTGCTGATGGCCACCGTGGTCCCGCCCTCAGGGTAAGAGGAGCCCTGTTTGCTGAAGCGACTGCATAATGGCCTTGTTGGTAAGTGGCTGAGGGGGTCCAGCAGTTTTAGAAAGGAGGCAGTCTGTGGGGACCCACGCTTTCCCCGACTGACAGCCATTCCCGGTGCCTAGGGATTTCATTTGTGCCCAAGGAGACAGGGGAGCACCTGTTGCACAAGAAGAAAAATGGCCAACACGTGGCCAGCAGCCCCATCCCGGTGGTGATCAGCCAGTCAGAAATCGGGGTGCCAGCCACATTCGGGTCTCTGGCCAGGGCCTCCATGAAGGCCACACCTTTGAGCCTGCAGAGTTTATCATTGATACCTGAGATGCAGGTAGGCAGTTGCTGCCCGCCAGTTGGGGCAGGAACATTGTACATGGCACCCAAGCTCAGGGTTCTCCATCCCCCAGGCTTTGGTGGTCTAAGCCTGTCCATTGAGGGCCCCAGCAAGGTAGACATCAACACAGAGGACCTGGAGGATGGGACGAGCAGGGTCACCTACTGCTCCACAGAGCCTGGCAAGTACATCATCAATATCAAGTTTGCTGACCAGCACGTGCCCGGTGAGTGCAGCAGTGCCTTGGCAGCACCCCTCACCACACAAGGGCCCAGAGGCAGTGTGTGACTGGAGGGCATGGGCTGTGCTTTTTTCCTACAGGCAGCCCCTTCTCTGTGGTGACAGGCGAGGGCCGGGTGAAAGAGAGCATCACATGCCAGGCATCAGGCTCCTTCAGTGGCCAACATTGGCAGTCATTGTGACCTCAGCCTGAAGATCCCTGCTAGGGTCTGTGGGGAGCCTGGGGCTCAGGCAGTCCCAAGAGGAGGGGTGGAGCCCAGGGCTGCTGCTCACCAGCCTGTCACCACTGTCACCACCCTGCAGAAATCAGCATCCAGGATATGACAGCCCAGGTGACCAGCCCATCAGGCAAGAGTCATGAGGCCGAGATCGTGGAAGGGAGAACCACACCTACTACATCCCCTTTGTTCCTGCTGAGATGGGCACACACACAGTCAGCGTCAAGTACAAGGGCCAGCACGTGCCTGGGAGCCCCTTCCAATTCACTGTGGGGCCCCTAGGGGAAGGGGGAGCCCACAAGGTCTGAGCTAGGGGCCCTGGCCTCGAGAGGGCTGAAGCTGGAGTGCCAGGTAGGCCTGCTCACTCCTGAGCGTTTGCTCTCCTGCATTGGCAGGGATGGGGTTGGGGGTGGAAGAGAGCTGGCAGGCATGCCTACCTTGGCTATGCCTGGAGGGGACCAAGGTTGGTGGAGCAGCCTTCAGTGAGGATGCACTTCTCCCACAGCCGAATTCAATATCTGGACCTGGGAAGCTGGTGCTGGAGGCCTGGCCATTGCTGTCGAGGGCCCCAGCAAGGCTGAGATCTCTTTTGAGGACCGCAAGCATGGCTCCTGTGGTGTGGCTTATGTGGTCCAGGAGCCAGGTACTGGGAACTGGCTGGACGAGGTGGGGTTGGGACCTGGGGGTGGGCACTGGACCCAGGGGTTGTACAGATAGCTCTGCCTGGCCTCCACCCTTCACCTGGAGGTCCCAGGGCCACCCAGGCTGCTGAGCTGGTCTTATGCCCTTTCCCTGCCCAGGTGACTACAAAGTCTCAGTCAAGTTCAACGAGGAGCACATCCCTGACAGCCCCTTTGTGGCGCCTGGGGCCTCTCCGTCTGGTGACGCCCACCGCCTCACTGTTTCTAGCCTTCCAGGTGAGGCACCGAGAGAAACCACCCACCTGGGGCTCCTGGGCCTGGACAGACCAGAGCCACCACAGAGCAGGCCTAGGCCCTATATCGAGTGACCCCCCTGGCCCAGCTTTGAGTTCCAGGCCTCTGGTTTAGCCGGGTGCAGCCCACACTTGAGGTCCGCAGGAAATATCCTGCCCACCACATGGAGTTTTTCTCATGTCTCAGGTCTAAAGGCTTTGAACAGCAGCCTGTGCCCCTTGAGCACCAGGGCTGTGGTTTAAAGAGGGACAGCCTTCCAAGGCTGGGTGCTGCCTGCTGGGTGCTGCCCATAGGGTGGGGCTGCCCTCCCTTCCTGCCACCTGGGTGTGTGCCATGGCAGAGCATGGGGGCAGGGGTAGGGGCACGGACTTGTGCCTGTGGCTTGCTGCCTCTTGCAAATAAGTGGCTCTCCCTCTTTAAACCAAGTTGGACGCTAGATGGGTAAGTGCGACCTCGGGCCTCTCGCTCCTGGGGGCCTTCCTTCCTCCCTCCCTTGCCCTGGCCCAAGCCCCCATCTAACCATGTCTGCTGTGCTTCCAGGAGTTAGGGCTAAAGGTCAACCAGCCAGCCTCTTTTGCAGTCAGCCTGAATGGGGCCAAAGGGGTGATCGATGCCAAGGTGCACAGCCCCTCAGGAGCCCTGGAGGAGTGCTGTGCCACAGAAATTGACCAAGGTGAGCCCCTGTCCCTGCCCGGCCACCCTGCCCTGCTGGCTGGAAGGAGGCTGAGAGTACAAAAGGAATGTACCGCTTCTGTAAGCAGCCAAGACGGGGCCCCAACTCCTGGGCTGCCTTTGCCAGGCCACCCTTTCCCAATTGGTGACCCAAGCCCTTGGGGATGTGGCTTGTCAGTCATGGCCATTAGGAAGGCCTCCTGCCTGCAGTACTCTCTCCACAGGGACAGACCCAGAGTCCAGCCTCAGTGCTGCCCGGCCCTTTAGCTGCAACCACAGGACTTGCAGATAGGCCCAGGGCAACCTTGGGGGTAGGAGGAGCCCAGTGGGCTTTGTTTGACAGCCTAGTCCTGCCCTTCCCAGCTGCATGACCTGAAGCAAGTTCCTGCCTGTCTCTGAGCCTGTTAACACACAGATGGTGTTCACTGTAACCTTTAGGAGGCAGCGAGGCCTGGGTGTGGCTTGCCTAAGGTTTCTGTCCCAATGATCCCTGACAGCGAGTGGCTTGAGTTTCTAAAGCTTCGGGCCTCAGGAAGTCTGCTGCAGGGTGCAGGTGTCCAGCATGGCACCAGAAGAAACAGTGGGCCCCACTGAGCTGCTGGGCTCACTGATGGGCCGGCAAAATGGGAAGGGTGAGGGTTGAGGCTGTTCCTCACAGATACCATTTGCTGGTTTGAGGAGGGGCCCCAGGCCCACAGCATGGCTCTCTGCTCCTCAGATAAGTATGCTGTGTGCTTTATCACTCAGGAGAATGGCGTTTACCTGATTGATGTCAAGTTCAATGGCACCCACATCCTGGAAGCCCCTTCAAGATCCGGGGAGCCTGGGCATGGAGAAGACCCAGGCTTGGTGTCTGCCTATGGAGACTGCACAGTTGAGTCTGTGGACCCTGCCTCCAAGCTCTGGGCGATAACAGGAGGCATCTGGAGGTGACAAGCCTGTGCTGGGTGGCCAGGGATGGGGAGGCAGGCCAGTCTGGCTCTGCCTGACCTCTGTGCTCCCAGGGAGCCCAGCTGAGTTCATCATGAACATGAGCAATGCGGGAGCTGGTGCCCTCTCGGTGACCACTGACGGCCCCTCCAAGGTGAAGATGGATTGCCAGAAGTGCCCTGAGGGCTACCGTGTCACCATTACCCCCATGGCACCTGGCAGCTACCTCATCTCCATCAAGTATGGCGCCCTACCACATTGGGAGCAGCCCCTTCAAAGCCAAAGTCACAGGTGAGCCTGGGGCCAAGCTGTTGGCACCTGCCCAATGACTGGCACTGTGGCCACCTCTTAGCCCCACCCACTCTGTCCTGCAGCCAATCCCAGGTGCCCTGGGCCCGCTGCTGAACACAACTCAACTGTGCCCCTGCCATGGACTCCCACACCAACCTGTGTCTCTGACTGAAGACTGCCCCAAACACATCCCAAGCCGTCCTGGCTCCTGGTGCGCCTGCGTGCTGTTTGGACATCCCCACTGCAGCCCACAAAGCTGCCTGTTTCCTGGGCCAAGGACTGCAGGTGGCTTTGGCCCTTGTTCAAACCCCTGACAAGGATATCACCATCCCAGCATCTGCAGACAAAGGCCAGGCGCTAAGGCTCTCGGGGGCAAGGCCCAGCTTCCATGCCAGGCCCTCCCTCAGCTCCACAGCATCTCACACAAAGCTCTAGGGGTCCCCATGATCTCAGAGCACACAGCCCAAGGCCAGGCACATGAGCGAGGGGAAGGAGAGGACCAGGCCACAGCCTGTAGCCATCCCACACGTCAATCCCAGGCCTCCTGAGAGCTCAGCACCCTGTGTGCCCTCCTTGATCCCTAATGAGGGGCAGAGTAGAAAGAGCAGCAGCAGCTCAGGCAGAATCGTTACTTTTATTTCTGATTGAGGCTGGGCTGCTGGCCCCAGGCTCAGGGCGTCCACTCACTGGGAGACACGAGCAAGCAAGACACAGAGAGTGTTAGTCCCACCCCCAGCCCCAGACACTCTACTGCTCCCACTGGGCCCAATGGCATAGAGGCAAAGGGGCCAAGCATGCTCTGGAAGCCTCTAGAAGCCACTAGCTGAATGGGGGTGGGAGGCAGCAGAGCCAGGCCCAGAAAGATCCAGTGCCAGTGGGCAGGATGACAGGTCCCCCTGAGGTCCCAACCTGTCGGCTCAGCCCATGGTGTGCTCAGGACTCGGAACCTCTGGGGTGCCCCCTCCTGCCCTGGGTCACCTGGAGTCTCCTGCCCCCTCCTTGTGGCGGCTCCATCGCATCCTCTCCCAAGCCCATGCCTGGCAGGGCCACCGGGAGAACCACCCTGGGGCTGGGCTAGGTGAACCAGGGGTGCCCATCCCCCAACCCTCTAGATGATACCCAGGCTGGAGGGACACATGTGGGGAGGCAAGGGTGGAAGACAAACTGGGGGGATCCAGGCTCCTGGGGCCTGCCCTGGCGGGAGGTCACAGGCCTCACGGGGCAGTGAGCTGGAGGCCACCCAGGCAGGCAGGCAGCAGGGAAAGTGATCGGCATGGTCCTGGCCAGGGGCCTCCCCAGGGAGGCCGGGCAAGTAGGAGCAAAAACAAGAGCACAGGCCCCCACCCTGCTGGGGCTTATGGCCTGCGGACCCAGCCACAGAGGAAGACTCAGGAGGACCCGCCAGACTACTAGGAGAACATGAAGGGTGCACAGGCCCCCAATCTGGAGGATGTGTCTGGACTGAGTCCAAGGAGGGCAGGGACGGGGGTAGCCCAGCTGACCTTCCCTCACCCCAGCCACACCCCTGGCACCCCAACCTTCCCTTCTGCCTTCTGACAGCCCCATCCCCACTCTCCCAGGAAACTGGGAGGGAGGGAGCCTGGAGAGGAAAGGGAAGCAATAGCCCCTCAGAGCGGGACTCCCTGAAATCTACAGCCAGGGATTGAGTCCAGCACTCAGTCACTGCTGGGAACCCTGGCCAGGAGTCCCTCTGGGTTCCGGTGTGGTCCCTAGCGCAGGGAGGCCTGGGCTCCACTCCAGGGCTCTGGGCTCCTCCAGGCGGACCTGGGAATCTGCCTGGGAAGCTTAGGGGACTGGCCCAGCACAGGGAGGGGCTCAGGCTGGAAACCAAGCAGACAGGGTACCCCCCAACCAAGGGCCGAGGAGGACAGGAAGCAGGCGACTATGGGAAGACCCCCGCCACCACCCACCCCAACTTGGCACACAAAGGCCCAGAGAGGCCCCCAGGCATTACTGTGGGGGTGTTTGACAACACCTGCAGAGGGGCTGGGTGTCCCAGGCACACAGAAAGCTTGCAGGGCCCAGCTGAGGCTAGGACACCAGCAGGTGGTGGCTAGGAGGTGACTGACCGGGGGCCCCAAGCTGCATGGGGGGGCAGGCCCGAGACAGGATCTCTCTGAAGAGGTGCTGTACCCAGCCAGGGCTCCCAGAGACATAGGTGGTGGGGCCGAGTGCCCCTCACCCTGTGCCTGGACCCCAAGAAAGGGCAATCATGTATCCTCCTCAGACACAGTGTCCAGGGCAGGGCACTCCCAAACCAAGACACCCCCTAGGCCAGAGGCTGGGGGTCTGGGGAGGCCCCCCAGGAGGCAGGGCAGCAGCCAAGAGGAGTGCAGTACCTGGGCGCACTCTCCAACTGCAACCAGGGCCCGGTCCCCGAAGGCACCAGCTCTCCCTGGGGGCAGGACCTTGATCCAGAGCAGGAGTGGAGGCTCCCCGACAGGGGACGGCTGGAGAGGCCCTGGGCTCACGAGCCAGGGAGTGGCTGCTCTTTGCCCAGAAGCCCCTGGGTCCTGCCTGGGCTGTTGGTAGCTGCCAAGGCCTGAGGGGTCTGGAGTCCCCCAGGGTGCTCGGGGGCGGGCAGCTCCTTTGGGACCCTCAATGGAGCCAGTAAGTCCAGGAGGGCGCCGATCCATCCAGGTGGCTGCACGGCCCAGGACAGGGTCTGGCTGCTGTCGTGACCATGCCCATCTGTGAAACAGGCTGCTGGAAGAGCATTCCCTGAGCGAGGGCGCTGGGCAGCCGGGGGAGGGAGGATGCAGTCCCCGTCCAGGCCCCCAAGGCCCCCACAGCAGGGAGAGTCGGCCCTCCTCACTGTTCCTTCTCGGGGCACCAGGCCAGTGCCTCAGCTCAAGGGAGAGAGGGGTCACAGAGGACAACCAGCAGGCAGATGGCCCAGGAGCATGGGGGTTCAGGGGGGCCTGACCATGCCCTGAGGCACCCCAGGACCCTCTACCCAACACCCCTGGGGACAGTGGTGTCCCCACCTACCAGGAACACATTCCTCAGGGAAGGCCCGGCAACCTGCTCTCCTCCAGTTCAAGGAGAGCCAGGCGGCTTTGGAAGGGGCCAGGAGCTTCACCAAGGGTCCCTGTATTGCCCAGAGGCGATGGCGGCCAACAGGAAAAACACTCGCTGCCCACAGAACCTCAGTGACAAATTCAGAGCCACCGAGAGAGTGAGAGCATCATCAGAAAGTCACCTGCCAGTCCCAGGGAGAAGGATGGGGTGCGTCTCCAGGGAAACGAGATGCCAAGGGCCTCCCGGGGCCCCTTCCGGAACCCACCCAGCTCTCAATATCCCACCCCCAAGGCCAGGGGCTGCCCCCACCCCCCCAGCCCAGGATCTGGCAACCCTACACACCCCTCCCTGCCCCAGCCCCTCCCCTTCAGGGCTGCATGGGGAAAGGAGAGGCCTCCTCTGTCTGCAGAGCGAGGTCGCCCCACCTAGGGCAGAGAGGAGGAGGGTGTTGGAGGTGCGGGGCACATCCTGCCACCCAGGCTGGCGTGGGGCACTCACACCGTGCAGAAGCCGCTGCAGTGACCACAAGCCTCCCGCTGGCTCCTGGGGATGTAGGACCGGGACTCCTGGACCAGTGCTGGGAAAGACTTCCATGAAGGGCCAGAGAGCACACGACGCAGCCCCTGTGGGACACACGGGGTCTCTGTGGCAGAGTCTCCCTTCTCGGGGTTCTCTGTGATGGGTGTTGCAACCTTTTCAGGATGTCAAAGCATGCTCCGCCCTCAGAAATGCAGGCCCCGGCCAGTGTCAGCCCCAGGAGGTGGCCTGCTGCTCCTGGCGACACCAAGGACACTCTCTTGAGGCGGCCCTTCCTCTCGGGGCTTCCAGCAGCCGACACAGGTCTACACGTGCAAGGGCGCTTCTGACTCACAGCACGCAGGAACAGCCTCCACCCTGAGCATGACGCCCTCTCCAGCATGCTCCAGGGTGGACCTGTGAGACCACTGAAAACCACAGAGGAGAGAGGTGAGGCGAGTCACTTAGGATACCAGGTAGTACACAGATTGTGGCTGGGTCTGGGGCGCCCTCCCCTGCTGGTTCGATTGGATTGCAGGTCTGCCTGCAGGAAGCCCGGCAGCCCTGTGAGGAGGGCGGGGGGCTGAGGCCTCCTGCCACAGCCTCTTCAGTCAGTCAGATAGGATGGCTGGGCCCCAGTGGACACCTTCACCGCAGCCTGAGAGGGACCCTGGGCCATAGTCCCTGGCTCCCCGAGAGCCCTCCCAGAGCGGGTCCCTCAGAACCCTGGGGGATGAGGAGCACCAGGTGGGGAAGGACCAAAACGTGGGGTCACCTGTTACCCAGCAGTCGGAACCGGTGCCCAGCATCCAGGGGGCAAGACACGGTGTGAGCCAGAAGGAAACAAACGAACAAGAACCCCCAGAAGCCGTCAGGAAAGCCTGGAGCTTCTGATGACACGACAACTAAAATCCCGTCTGACCAAGCACAACCCGCAGACCACACAGTCAAGAGACAAGTGATAACATGGGAAAAAACAGTAGCAAGAGGTGACTAAGGGCTCGCGTCGGTCACACACATACACACACAGGGCCAGACACACGAGTGGACAAGGCAGCGTGCAAGGACAAGGGAGCCAAAGCGGGCGGAGGAGAGGAAGGGAGAGGGAGGGAAGTGTCTTCTCCACCAGGATGCAATCCCCTCGGGGCAAAGACACCCAGCAGGGTCGCCAGAGCCGCGGCGGAGACGGGAAGTGACGCCAGGCCTCGGAGCCCAGCCAAGAGGAACCAGAGCAGACGGGCCAAACCCAGCGGCGAGCTCCCAGGTGGGTGGTGGCGCTGGGGGGAGCCGCCTGGGCAGCATCACCAGCAGCTGGGAACCCTCCTGGCGCGGGAAGGATGGCGGGAAACGCGGGGCTTTCCCGGAAACCCTGGGCGGGGCCCCGCAGTCCCATGGGTGCGGGAACCGGCCCTGCGGGTGTTCCCAGGAACCCTCCCGCGGGAAGACCGGTCGGAGGGATGGCTCGGTCGAGGGAAGCCACCGCCTTTTCTGCGGGGCTCGCCTTCCCCACCTCCCCGAGGAGCCAGTCTGGCGGGAAGCGCCCACGGCCGCCCGCAGCAGAGCAGGATTCCCTCCCCGGCGGCCACGGCTGTCAAGGGACGGGGAAGACTTTGTTACCCCACCGCGCGCCACCCGCGGAATGGTGCACAGACACCTCCAGACGCCACCTCCCCCAGGACGCCTGACTGGGCCCGCTCTGCCCACCTCTCCCTGGACGCTGCGCGGTGGGCGAGTGGGGTCGGCGCTGCTTCCCCAGGACCCCGCAGACGCGCCCGAGGCGCTTCCAGAGCACAGTGGAGTGGGAAGGGCGGGGCGGCCCCTCTGCGGCGCCCAGGCGAGAGCGGCTCACGGGGCTTCCCAGGCCCTGACCTCGGGGGACGCCTGTCCGCCAAGTCCCCGGGGGAGGACAGTGACCACCGGCCTACACCAGAAAGGGACTTCCCGCCTGCCCCGCAGGGCTGGCCCGAGGACCCGCAGGTGCGGAAGGCGGAGCCGAGGGGGAGCGGGATCGCCCTCGCCTCCGCCCGCCGGAGCCCACAGCTGCCTCGCTCCCCGCCTCTGAATCCGTCGCTCCTCTCAGCCTCCAGGCGCCCGCCGGAAGCTCCGCCCCTCCCCGCCTATCCAGCCTCCTCTTCGCCTGTCGTCGCCAATGACCATGCTCAGATTGAACGGAATTCCCGCCCCTCGCCTTTGACGGACGCCCCTGCTGCCCAATGGTGCGCGCGGGAGGGCGCGGCCGTGGGCATTTCCGCGCTGGGGCGGTTTCCTGTCCCCAGCACCGACCCCTCCCTCCCGTGGGCCCACGGTAGGCACGCCCCCTCCCTCACGCGGTGCAGCGCAGCCGGCGCTCTGCTCCGGGACTCATCGAGTTTGTCACCGCGGAGCTTTTTTTTTTTGAGACGGAGTTTCGTTCTTGTTACCCAGGCTGGAGTGCAATGGCGCTATCCCGGCTCACCGCCACCTCCGCCTCCTGGGTTCAGGCAATTCTCCTGCCTCAGCCTCCTGAGAGCTGGGACTACAGGCACGCGCCACCATGCCCAGCAGCTAATTTTTCTTGTTTTTAGTAGAGACGGGGTTTCACCATGTTGCCCAGGATGGTCTCGATCTCTTGACCTCGTGATTCACCCGTCTCGGCCTCCCAAAGTGCTGGATTACAGGCGTGAGCCACCGCGCCCAGCTAGGAGCGCCTCTTTTCCTTCCGCACCGTGAGTGAGCACGCTTGTGGTATCTGGTCATGCCTTTGCAGGTTCTGACCCCTGGTTTTAGGCTTGTTCTCGTCTTCCATTCCGACTCTCTCCTTCGTTGCAGCCACTGAAGATCCTGGTGTCGCTATGGGCCGCCGCCCCGCCCGTTGGTGAGTTTTGCATCCATGTACTTTAAAGGCTGGGAAATGAGATCGGGGAAAGAACTATTTTTGGGCCCTGAAAGTACCTGTCAGGCGGAGCCCCCCCCCCCGCCCCCCAGGGCTGCCTGTTTTGGGAACTGACCCTATGTTTTGCCTCACATCGCCCGGTTCTTTTCAGTCTTAAGTATTATTGTCTGTTCCTTCATTCCAGTGTCGGTGTAAGTTTCCCTCATCTCTCTCCCTCTGTCCTGCAAGCTCGCCGCATTTTCGGGCGCTAAATACCCTCTCGGGGCCTTTGTGTGCTTTCCCTGTCTTATTTCCGGGCGACCTGCCGCGTGCCTTCCCGGACGTGGAAGTGGTCAGTTGGGTGACCTGAGCTGTGGAATGATAATGCAGTGAATTTGTAGTACACAGTGTCTGAGAGAGCATTTTTAACTAAGAAAACTTGTTGCAAAGTGTTTACTTTCCAGGAAGTGTAAGATGAAGTAACGGAAAAAGGTGGCTTTTATGTTTCTACTCGGGCGCTCTCTGCTGCAGCAGCGAAGTGTTCCTTTGGAGCTCATTTCCCTGAATGGAAGCAGCTTAGAAGTGGACATGCATTCCCTCGTTTGGGTTGATGGTTGAGTTTTCTGTGAACCTCACCTGACCTGGGTTTTTTCCACTCCCCTGCAGTTGCCAGTATTGTCAGAACAATCCGTCCCCAACCAAAGTCCCGCTTCTGCCAAGGTGTCCCTGGTAAGTAGTGGAAGAGCTGCTGCACTAGCTTGGCCCTACTGACCCAGCATCCGTCTGCGACACCCCCTGCACACGTACCCAATCCTTTTTTAGATGCCAAGATTCGCATCTTTGACCTGGGGCAGAAGAAAGCAAAAGTGGATGAGTTTCCCCTCTGTGGCCACATGGTATTGGATGAATATGAGCAGCTCTCCTCTGAAGGTAAGGCCGGATTCTCTGAATCACCCCCAGTTGTCCTCCTGCTCCCTCAGCCCCATTTGCATGCACTGCACTGGTATTGGGAGTTTGAGCCTTTTCACAAAACTCAACCAACACATTTCTCCCAAGCTGGAGATGGTCACGGTGGATGTTTCTCTACTGTCTTCTCTGGCTTTGCTGCTTTCCTTCACCTCTACCTGGCCCTGGAGGCTGCCCAGATTTGTGCCAATAAGTACATGTTGAAAAGTTGTGGCAAAGATGGCTTTCATATCTGTGCGGCTCCATCCCTTCCACGTCGTCTGCATTAACAAGGTGTTGTCCTGTGCTGGGGCTGACAGGTGAGCTTGGTTTGGGGCTTTTGAAGGCAGTTATCCGATAACTTGGAGTCTCTACATTATTAGGCTTGCATTAATTTGTCAGAGCATAAAGGTGGCCCCAGTGACTCAGCCACCATGGCTGACTACTAGAAAAGCCAGGACACAGCTGGCAAGTGACTTTCAGTGGTCACTCAGTAGGACTACTTCCTGTGGACTGTTGCAGATACAAGCAGGAAAGCATGAGTAAGTCTTAGCAACCTCTTAGTCACAGGTGAAGGGAAGCATGTGCAGTGGGAATGGTTTTCCTTGCTTGAGCTTGATGGCAGCCATCTGCCAGCAAGCAGGTAGAGCTGGCAGAGGAGCCCAGGGGTGCCTTGCAGGATGTATCATTGGTTCTTGGGATCCTCTACAGCCAATTAAGCCAACTGGGTTCCTTTCCTCATGGGGGCCCAGTTGTGCAATGGCTGCAAACAGCAGCTTTCTTGGTAGTGTATGCATCCTGTTTCTTGTATGGGTTGCTCTAAGGGACCTTGGAGACAGGCCCTCCAGATGTATGTTCATGTGTCTCACCTTGCACTGCCCCAATGTAGACTCCACACAGGCATGTGAGGTGCCTTTGGAAAGCCCCAGGGCACTGTGGCCAGGGTTCACATTGGCCAAGTGATCATGTCCATCGCACCAAGCTGCAGAACAAGGAGCATGTGATTGAGGCCCTGCGCAGGGCCAAGTTCAAGTTCCCTGGCCACCAGAAGGTATGTGGGGCTGCAGCCCCCTTCTCCCACCTTACCTTGCCGCAGGCCTCCTGACTCAGCTCTTTGCATTGCCTCCCTAGATCCACATCTCAAAGAAGTGGGGCTTCACCAAGTTCAATGCCGATGAGTTTGAAGACACAGTGGCTGAGAAGCAGCTCATCTCAGACGGCTGTGGGGTTAAGTATATCCCCAGTCGTGACCCTCTGGACAAGTGGCAGGCCCTGCACTCATGAGGGCTTCCACTGTGCTACCCCCTAGTAATATAAACCAATAAATTGATTTCCTGTCCACCTATGTCTTTGTATGTGCATTCTTGAGGGGGAAGGAACTTCTCTGGGGACCTTGGAGTCATCACTGCCCTCTGATTTCAGAAACTGGTTAACAACTCAGCCCTGCTCATGAGGCAGCAAACTTGCAAAGGGCTAGGGCTGGTGGCCTTGTGTCAGCTGTCTACTCTGGAACTTGACTTGGACCTCCCTGGGTCCTAGGCAGTAGGTTGAAAAGCATTGAAGTGCTTTTCATAAAGCACATCTGCAGCAAAGCCTTGCAGTCCTGGGATGAAGTCAGCCTCAGATTGTGTTGCTTATTACAACACATGGGGGTGAAGAGAGCTTGTGGGCTAGAGGCTGACCCACAGTGCCCCTGACCAGCAGCAGCCTTTATTTAGCAAGGGTAGATGTGTGTCATGCTGGGCGTGGTCTCAGCGCCATGTGGTTTAGATAGTCTCCGGAATCATCCAGGTACTGATGGTGTCACCTGGGATTTGCCTATCTCTAGCAGCCTCCTGAGCCGCATGCACCTACCCTTTCTGGAGCCTGCATTCCCAGAGCCCTCACCACCATTTGGTCTGGGCCAACCTTTGCTCCTTTGTAACAGAAAGATCTGGGAACAGACAGATGTGGCGTGCTTTGGCCTGGGGATCCTGGATGTCTGACTTGAACTGTTGTAGAACAGTGATGACCTTTGGGGGAGCAGCAGAACGAGAAGAGTGCTATGTGGGTGGTCTGAGCATCTGGGCCTGGGGACAGGAACTCCAAAAGCTGCTGGTTCCAGAGCTGGGATATGGTGGCCCACTTGGCCCCAGCCCCCAGCCTGTGGCCCCAGAGGCCTCTGTTTTTTTTTGTAATCTCAACTTACAGCCATTTCTAAGGGTTTTAATTACCTTCACTTATTTGTTTTGCCAAACATACCTGGGAATGCTTTTGTTTACCTTGGGGCAATGGTTCCATACCATAAATGTGATCAGAGTTAGTACATGGCCTGTTAACTGCTCTTTTGGGGCAGTGGCAGGTGAGGAGGGAGGGCTCGCTTGGCACACTGCTCACATTTTACTGTGTCCTGCAGCCCCTTTCCTGGGGCTCCTGGGTTCAAATAGGAGCTTTTTAGGTTACACAACTGGTGCAGATTTTTTGTGTGCCTTGGCTGGACCTTGCCAGACAGGCAGAAGCCTGTGCCAACCCAGACAACAGCACCCGGGTGGCAAGCACAGCTGCGTGGCTGTTACGACAGGCCTGACTGCAGCACTCACTGATTACAATGAGCTGAAACATTTCCCGGTGTTTGCTGGTTTCAGGGAAGCTGTTTGATGGAGTGGCTTAATCACCCTCCTTGTAGCTACGGGGACTTCGTGGTTTCCTGGTGATTCTTCCCAATCCACAATAAAGATGGCCCATTGGCATATGTGCTAGTGCCATACCTCGCCCGCCCATTGGAAGTTTTGTTCTTCGTCACTTTCCTTGTTATAGAAAGTTTTGGCCGGGCGCGGTGGCTCACGCCTATAATCCCAGCACTTTGGGAGGCAGAGGCAGGTGGATCAAGCTCAAGAGATCGAGACCATCCTGGTCAACAAGGTGAAACCCCGTCTCTACTAAAAATACAAAAATTAGCTGGGCATGGTGGTGCGTGCCTGTAGTCCCAGCTACTCGGGAGGCTGAGGCAGGAGAACTGCTTGAACCCAGAAGGTGGAGGTTGTGGTGAGCCGAGATCCTGCCA